CCCTAGTTCGATTTGTTGCTTGGTAACAATATTCACCATTTTGGCTCTTGTCTTATCACCAACTAGATATTTTCTCTTAGTACATCACGCATAAATATGCAGCAAGTCAATCATTCGATCTAGACCAATGTGAACAACATCATCACTATCTTACGATAATCATTGAATATCACCAACTGTTTTTTTAAATATTTTTATGGTGTAAGATTCTAACTAAGTCTCTGAAGCCAAATTTCTCATACAATCACAGACCCATCTGTCTTTTCTTTCATGGGGTGATTCCCAGCACATCTGAGTCATTGTAGTCATATTACTATGGGCTATGTCAATCATGTTCATCCGATTACTGTTTGTGTAAATTTATATATGTATTTATTTCTATTAAATATGACGTTACACTGCATATTCATATTTATGACTATACAAGTAACAACTTCTGGAAGCTGAGCACCGGGGTTATAGCTTCTTATGGCATAACTTGTAAATGTGGCATATCTATAAATATATAAATATTATTAATATACACCTGTCGCCGTAACGCCATAAGTTACAGCGTGCCGTGATTTTGCTATATTTTACGGTGGTATTTTCATCCTACCATATTAGAAAATGCGAATTCCAAATATGGAATAATTACGCGCGTAAGCGTCCTCTATAATAAAAAACAAACATGGTTGCCAACAAGGATTGACCAGACTCCATACAAAGAAGTTCGCTGATTCTGTTCTAAACTTTTTAGAATTCGGCATTCCCAATTCATACATACATGTTTGACTGTGACTCGTATTTGTTTGCATTTTTTTTGTCCTTCAAGATCATGTTTTCTTTGTTGGAGGTTCGCAATCCATCTCAAAGTACACAGCGTTCTGGCGTTCGTTTAGGCACGTCACGGTGTTGAGGAACGGTGGTTTAGGTTTGTGTGGCGAACGACAATCACTCAACGACAGACGCTCACAACTTGGATCCCACCATTAACAAAAAACAATATTATGGTTTTATAATTTTTCAGATGTTTTTAATTCAGTATTTATTTCAATATTCTTCCAAAATTCAACCACTATATTTTCCTAAAAATCAAACAATACCGGTTTTATGTATTTCCGTATTAAACCTGTAGTCAATCCATGTTCCAGGGCCACTTGGTTTAGCCGTGCATTATCAGCCAATATACCATTGATTGCATATGCAAATTTTGTGTTTCGACCAATCAAATCAATGGATTAATACCATCAAAATACTGGTATAGTATAATACATATAACATCCGGTGTCCCGTAGCGGCGTTCGAATTCTAGCTAACAAATTTGCAGTGAAATTGCACCCGGGTAATTGCCATCTGTTTCAAAGAACATGGGACAATGCATAATTCGACGACGATATATGGTATTGTAATTTTCCACTATGGGTAAAAAGATTACAGGAGATGATGAAGGTAATTTCGAAAGCTACAGATTTGTGCCGAGTGTACACCAACCACTGCATTTAATAGAGCGATGGCGTGCAAAGTCTTTCTTTCGGCCGGAGTTGAGACAAGACATATTATGTACGTGTCACAAAAAACGATGCGAGAATCCGATCTTACACCATCAAACTTACACCAGATCAACGACAAAACTTGTCAGTCATACTGTCACAAAACTTTGAATATACCAAAGGTATCCAGGTCAGATGTTGGAACTGAGGTCACCGTGCCAGTCGCCGTACATGATACACCGCGCCACGCCGCGTCTCAAATTTCAGTCGAGCCAAGTACCGCTGAACGTCAAATATCCACAGACACAAATAGTAAGATGAGTCACAAAACCGGTTTATTTCACAACAGTACTTTCAATGGGCAAATTACAATTCAAATTGTACAAAAACCGGAATGAAAACGTGGAAAACCCGTTGTTTTAATGACCCAAACTGTACACGATCCTGTATTTCAAATAGCGCTGACGCAGTCAGTAAACGTTTCAATGTTTCTTACACCTCTCTTCTTCTTTTGAAACAAACAGATTTTTACACTACATACAGTTGAAAGGATTACTAACGTAATATCCATTGCGGTATTAAATGATGACGCCTCAAAGCAGAACATATAATTTATGAACAAAAATAACATCAACCCATTGCAATGATTGACTGAAATGATTCAAATGGAGAATGAGATCCGGTGGCTGAATCTAACGTGTAACGTGGCGACTTGGTGCACTACATATGCATTGGTTTGAGTCACATGCATAGTATTTTTTTTACTTTGATTAAAATAGTATTTAATTGTTGTAAATGTTTATATTGTAATGATTGAAAAAATATGCTGATATACAACAGACTTAATTATCATTCAAAACAGCCACTAGCAATAATAAAGTAGTATTCATGTCACTATGGGTGTTATTAATGTGCATGTTTAGTCTTATACCATAACACAACGCTACTAACAGTATTTAGTTTCCAAATGATACAGAGATAACACAAACGTTGTTTTCAATTTCACCCTCCCACTGAGAAGTATAATGTGATCTCTCGATTAAACCACACGTTGTATCAACACCAAGCACTATACCATTTCGACTAACTGATATACCAGATACAACACCATTGTCATCCACTTTGGTCCACACTCCTTGTATGCTAGGTCTTGTCCACAATTTGCCACTCATTCCAACACCCAATAGACTTTGATCTGGTAGCACCGATATTGACATTACGGCAGCACTATTGCTAACAGGACCAGTCCATGTATCTTGGATATCAGTAAGTATCATCAATTCATTCGTCATACCTATGCCAACTATGGTACCATCGGACATCTGAGTAACATCGATCACTGAGCCACCATTTAACAGTGGACCACTCCAAGGTATATCCAAGCTAGCCTTGTTGTACAATTGATTGTTGTCACCCACACCTAGTATTGAGTTATCAATAAGAATGGTCATTGCAATCACACAGCAACTGTTAGGTGCTGGACCAGACCATGTTCCATTAATACCGTCTCTAGTATAGAGTTGGTTATCGGTTCCAATGCCATATATAACTGAAAATGATCAGAATCAGAAATAATACATAATAAAATACATGACATTTGTTAATTGACGACTCATCTAAATATATTTGTTCTCTCTGTACGTGACCGTTTTTTTATTGTAATCTAAAATAATGGTTTATGAAAAGACATTATATATGGTTATGTGTTGATAAATGGAAACATGCAAAGTCACATTGTTTAGTTATGTAGTGATACAATTCACACACACTCTAGATGCAATGACAATTTGTCATCACAATGTGTTGATGTATGTAAACATCTCAGATGCAAAGTCACATTGTTTAGTTGTGTGGTGATACAATTCACACACATTCTAAATGCAATGACAATTTGTCATCACAATGTGTTGATGTATGTAAACATCTCAGATGCAAAGTCACATTGTTTAGTTATGTGGTGATACAATTCACACACATTTAAATGCAATGACAATTTGTCATCACAATGTGTTGATGTATGTAAACATTCAGATACAAAGTCACATTGTTTAGTTATGTGGTGATACAATTCACACACACTCTAGATGCAATGACAATTTGTCATCACAATGTGTTGATGTATGTAAACATCTCAGATGCAGTCACATTGTTTAGTTATGTGGTGATACAATTCACACACATTCTAAATGCAATGACAATTTGTCATCACAATGTGTTGATGTATGTAAACATCTCAGATACAAAGTCACATTGTTTAGTTATGTGGTGATACAATTCACACACATTCTAGATGCAATGACAATTTGCCATCACAATGTGTTGATGTATGTAAACATCTCAGATGCAAAGTCACATTGTTTAGTTATGTGGTGATACAATTCACACACACTCTAGATGCAATGACAATTTGCCATCACAATGTGTTGATGTATGTAAACATCTCAGATGCAAAGTCACATTGTTTAGTTGTGTGGTGATACAATTCACACACATTCTAAATGCAATGACAATTTGTCATCACAATGTGCTGATGTATGTAAACATCTAGGATGCAAAGTCACTCACGCTGGATGCAGTGTTTCTTTGTTTTGTACAACGAGTGATCACTTTCTCAACATTATTCATATGCTTGTGTCATAGGCAGAACGTGTATATAATTTTCAATTATTGGGATATATTTTATTTATATGTTCATTAAATTTATATTGCATAATATTATAATTTGTTCAACACATGTGAGCTAAATATAAACTATACTTACGGCAGAAATCTGCAGCAGAGACTAGTGCAGTTCCGGTAATATCAAGACTATCAGACTTCCATGAAAACACATTGCCTTCAATACCACATGAACAGTCATTTGTGGAGTGTAGGATATCTACACCATCTAATTCCCTGTCCCACATATTAAAATTTGCTAGATCTCCTTTAAATGCTTGGGATGGATCAAATCCGCCTCCCAACGTATCTTGTTCCTGTCCTAATATAAGGACACCGCCAGATCTTATCATCAATCCAGTTCTGAAATTACTACCATCAACTGCCAGTATACTATTATCATAGATGTTCCATATTCCACCAACTGAATTCCATGTGACACACACGTGATGCCAGGCACCATCATTTATAGACACTCCAGTCGCACCAGTGGACAGGGCTCTTATGCCTATTGCTAAATCTTCTGGGAAACTGAGAAAGAATTCATTGTCTGATGCAGCAATATTGTACGAAAATGGTGTTCCTCCAGACACTTCAACTGTTCGTGCCCAAATACATGCTGTAACTGCTGACATTGAAGGTATTAGCTCCAGAATTTCAACCCTTGAATTTTCATCAACAGTTAGCACATTGCATGGAGACTGCGTAACTGAAATCAAATGCAAACATATGTCAAAGAAACAGTTTAACACAAGTAGCATTCACATTCAATGTAGTAGACCTTTAATCAAATTACAACTCACTGAATATTCTTTCTGATTGGTGATGTAATGAATATAAAGAACTAGATTCACAGCGACTTGTAAATAACAATGACCACAAAACCCAAAAAAGGTTCTTTGCTTCAACGACAAAAAAGTTGTCTGCTTCAACGACAATGCTTACAAACATTTGAGTAATCTTTACTTCATAGAATCGTTTGATTGCTAGATGGCGCAACGTATTATCGTCTCTAACATTCAAAGCGTTAAGAGATTTGTCGCGGTACATACTGAGTTGTGAGCAAGTCGTCCTTGCTCTTAAATTATTCCCGTTTGTTATCCAAACACGCAAATTTAAAGCGGGAGGGTCGTCACCTGCACACGCGCGGTAATTGAGTCTCAAGCACACGCTAAAAACGCAAAGGCTCATGGGTAGATGCCTGTTTGTAATCAATGACACGCCATGGCCATCTGACGCATGCGCAGGTGATGACTCCCCGCTTTAAATGTTAGTATCCAATAGTATCCAATGCAACAATTACTGCCGCAATAAGTCTCTGATTCTGCTTCTGCATACTGAACATGACTAATCTAGGCAGTATGTATTTGTTGGTGGTCAATGTTCAACATGTTTTTTTTTGCAGTAACAATGAACCTGTGGTTTAATACAATAACAGTGTTACACAGGTGATATCAGATGGCATCAATGTCACAAGTTTGTTCTAGATTTCGAAAAGAAACCATTTGATAAAGTTGAAAGGGATATGCCACATGTGAGGTAGGACGTGCTCACTCTTTTCGAACTTGAACTTGAACTTGAACTTGACGTTACTCCATGTAGACCATGGTGTCCATGTACCCTTCTCTTACTAATATTGTGTAATGAATATTTTTGTAGTTTTGTGTTCTTGGACAAATGATAAATGTCTGCGACTCAAGTGGAGAATCAAACAAATGACACGATTTTTTGCAGCTCCTGAAAACTTTTGATTTCACTACATTAATATACATTTTAACTACCTGAAAACTAACCTGGAAATGAAATGCAGTGACAGTGGTACAAGTAGAAACATCCGTTCAGGTCAAAGAAACCAATGAAAAGAATTTGTAGGAAATGCAACTTGATAGGTCACTATTGTATCACCCAAGATGGCTGACGATGAAAGACATTAAGTCTACCCTGGAGGCTCTTGGTCATATAATCGACCATACAACATCAATGCAAAAGACGTTGGAGAGTTACAGAAATGTCTCATGTCTTTGGAGTAAAAATACAAACCAATTTAGAACCGACCACCACTAAAAACAAGATATACACCAAAGCACAGCAATCTGGAAATACATGGCATTTCTCAACAACCCCATGAAGATACATTTAAGTAGCGTGAGCTAGTCGCGGACGCCGATAGAATTAATATTACCTCTGACAACATTGACGTGAGCCATCGCTTACTATCAAAACCAGGCTTGCTACCAGCATTTATTATTGTGAGATGTGTCGCCAGATCAACACGTAATAATCTATACAGCCCAAGACAATAAATCAACAAACGAC